CGTTCGTTTGACACTAGCTAGCTCTTCTAGACTAATTTTCAATTGTCCCATGTAAAACTGTTCATAAAACAACCTTTCTAATTGTGCCCAGGTATGGACAGACTATGGGGATAATGTGGTAAACCAAGTAAATGCATTCTTTGTGAGGGAACTTGGGAAATATTTCATTTTCAAGTCCTCGTTGTTCGCTATGTCACCAGCTTCAGTTTGATATATGGCAACATTTTCGACGGTGGACTCTTCAGTCTCTCCCGCGAATTTGGTGAACTTTAGAACCTTCCAGCCCCTAGGCATCTCTATTTGCAAAACAAAGTCTGGTAGTGGGGACGTATATGTTGGCCGTCGAAGGCCTGGGTTCGCTCCATTGTGAATCATAATCCGTTTCACCATAGCTTCTAAGTTTGGCTCGCCAACCATGGCTTTGTGTCGAACCTGTCTGATCACATAGTCTGGGTCTTGGTTTCTATGAACTAAAACAACGGGAGGCCTTTGAGCCACCGTAGGCGTGTGTTCAACCTCATGGGGTTGTTGGTCAATTTTTTTGTCGAAGTCTTTGTCTTGTCGAATTGGCGTTTGTCGACCTGGGGCCCTAGGAGCGCCTAAAAAAGCACCTACTCGTGTCACCTGAGTTGCCAATTGTTGGTAACTCTGGGTCAAATCTTGTATTAATGGTCTTAATATGGTGCCCATTTGCTGGGTCAACATGTGAATCATTTCGTGATTACTTTCATCTATCTGCTGTCTCATAACGGCGACAAAACTTGAGGTGAAAGTTGGAATCGAAAGTGACGGAAGACTACACCTTGGGGGCCTAATAACTTGGTTCGCCAAAGGCTCTAATCCCTGATACAGTGAGAAAGTTGACAATGAACTTTCTACAAAGAGTGGGCCACTATGATGCAGACTCAACATGAACTCTGTTGGCATCCCAAAGGCTCGAGGCGTGGGCGTTGTGAAACTAGGCACATACTGCCCCCTCAGTTCCTGTCAGCATAGGCCTAGGTTCAGGTCTACGCGGCGTCACGACAGGCCCACTATGTGCAGTCAAAACCACATACACAGTGTCAGCACCAACGTCGGTTGTTTGCTTCACAACCGTATTTCCCTCCGAAGACGGTTCTTCGTTTGGACGTGGTATCACCATCTTACCACTATGTAAATGCATACACCCAAACCAACGAGTCCCACAAGGTGTGCCAATTTGTTCGCACACAGTTTTTGCCCGAACAACCTCTGACCTCCTAACGCAGGTTTACTTGCGGGACCGGTCAAACAAGTCCCATAACTATCTTGTCGAGTCTATGCGACGATGGTAGAATGATTTTGTTTAGAATAAATTTGAAACAAACTCGAATAAAAATGTGTATACCAAATGAAGGACAAATAAAATAAATGAGTAAAAAATCAAGACATCTTAACGTTTGGTAATGTAAATTGCTTTTAAAAGAAAATGTGGATGTGATCATATATTTTGCAGGAATGAACTCTTTTCTCTTAACGCTTGGTACTCAGAGTGTTTTTCCCTTACAATATTACAAAATGCGTCCCCTTAAAATGAAAATGGACATTGCCTGAAATAGGAAAAGAAAATAACTGCTATGTTGGTCTTAGTGACGCCACGTGTCCCTCCACCACTTTTGTAATTTCCCCACGTTCTTAACTTTTCAAATTTTCTTTCCGCTCAAAAGTTCTTATACTTTGTGTCAGTTTCCTTAGCCATCAGTCGACACTTTCGACGGAATAACCTTGAGTTGACTTACAACCTTCTTCTGCTGGTGTCGACTTACCTCGTTTTCTTCACCACCTTTCCTAGCCTGTCGACCCACAAGTCAGCTTCTATGTCAACTTTCCCAGTCGAAATTTTCCAGCCAATAGGTGGTGAAATAAAATGATCCAATATCCAAGTATGAAATTGTATAGTTCTCCAACATTCATAAAACACACGGACTCTTCAATCCTTAACCACTCCATTACAATTATTATTTTCTTCATCTTATCTTAATTATTAGACCATTTTAGACATTGAAATTGTAAGTTATAAGCAATTTAATATTCAAATATAAGAAATGACAATTTAGATCCCATTTATTTTATCAATTTTTTATTTTTATTTTTATTTTTTAAAATGTGTTCTTTTTACCTTGTTAATAAAAGGATATGAAACTCTAAAGACAAATTTTAAAAATAAAAACAGATTTTATTTTTTTTAAAATGTGTTCTTTTTACCATTTATTTAAAATAATTTTTTTTTTCAATATTAGTAATGTTGAGCAATAGTTGCGGTGTTGAAATGAAATGGTCCAATATCCAAGCATGAAATTGTACGGTTCTCCAACATTCATAAAACAAACACATTCTTCAATCCTTAACCACTCCATTACAGTTATTATTCTCTTCAATCTCATCCATCATCTTAATCATCTTTCACCATTTCCACCAATAACAAATTGAAACAGCAACCATGATGGACATGAGTCCCGCTGGGAAAGATGGACAATCTCCTCCCAGTTCAAAGAAAACTTCCAAGAAACCTAAATGTATGTCTTGTTTCATTTGTTTTTGTCCTATGATGTTTTTTCGTATGTTTGTTGCTCATGACGTTTATTTTAATTGCAGATTCGAAATTCTCGCAGCAAGAACTTCCTGCATGGAAACCGATTCTAACACCTGGATGGGTATTATAACTTAACATGCAAACAACATAGTATATGCATGAATGCAACATAACAATTATTAATCAGTCTTTTTGTTTTTGTAATTTTCATAGGTTATTGCTGCATTCACTGTCATTGGAATCATCTTTATCCCTGTTGGTCTTGCTTCATTGTTCGCATCAGAAAGAGTAGAGGAAGCTGTATTCAGATACGATGACACGTGTCTTCCTTCCTCTGATGCTGGAAATCCAGTTGCATATATTAAAAATAATGCTGCCAACAAGTCATGCACTCATAAATGGATTGTTAGTAATTTCACTTCTTGATTTCATTTTCGTATTTTCCGTTTTGGGTGTGAGAATCTTCACGGATTTATCCTTCGGCTCGTTGGATTGAAGTGTACGAGTGTTGTATATAAACTAGGCCGGTCTGAAATACCTTAATTGAAATTTTTAGTTGTAAACTTTACAGGTTGAACACAAAATGTATGCTCCTATCTTTATCTACTATCAGCTTGATAATTACTATCAAAATCATCGCAGGTACGCGCGATTTCACCGTTGTAAATTGCTGATAGCAATACCGATTTGTTTTGCTCCTAATATGATGTTGGATTATTGATTCTTGCAGATATGTTAAGAGTAGAAATGACAAACAATTATGGAATAAGGATGCTGGAGGGGAAACAGCCAACTGTTTTCCGGAAGCCAAAACAAAAGAAAATGAGCCAATTGTTCCTTGTGGTCTCATTGCATGGAGTTTGTTCAATGACACTTACAAATTTTCAATGAAGAACAAGGATTTAACCGTCAACAAAAAAAACATAGCATGGAAAAGCGACAAAGGTTCTAAATTTGGTCACGATGTTTATCCTAAAAACTTTCAGGGTGGCGGAGATTTGATAGGAGGTGCTAAACTCGACGAAAGCATACCGGTAAAGTCAAGTTTGAATAAAATATTGTTATTTGTTTCTTGAGAAATAAGTAATCTATGTGTTGTGGCGTGTATCAGTTGAGTGATCAAGAGGATCTCATTGTTTGGATGAGAACAGCGGCACTGCCGACTTTTAGAAAATTATACGGGAAGATAGAGTCTGATCTTGAAGCGAATGATGAGATAGATATATTAATCGAGAACAATTATAACACGTACGAGTTTGGAGGTAAAAAGAAGTTGGTTCTCTCGACCACATCTTGGATTGGTGGGAAAAATCCTTTCATAGGGATGGCATACCTTTTTGTTGGTGGCATATCCTTGTTATGTGCCATAGGATTCATTCTTATGTATGTGATCAAGCCAAGGTAAGAGGAATATTGTGTTCATTTTATAGAGCTTTATGATTCTAATTTACTTTTCTATGACACTAACTTTTGAAAACACATGCACTTTTATATTTGTCGAAGTCAGAAGTGCTTTAGAATAGTTGATATTATAAGTACTCGTGATTTGTTATGCATGTACATATAATATCAACTTTTGATATTATTTACTTTACGCTCTAAAGTGAATTAATTTGCGCTTACGAGCTAACGTTACTATATTGTTCTATGTGTAGACCTCTTGGGGATCCATCCTACTTGTCTTGGAACAGAAATCCAGGGATCTTAAAATAATGTACTATGACTATCAACTTTTTTTTGCGACATTCAATTAGAAAAAACAACAAAATCACATCACAAATCCAAAGAGACTAAATGTATATATCAGTTGATTCATAAGAAATTCATATTTCTCTCAAATGATTCCTTTATCCATTTGATTTATATTTTCTTTAAACATAGCCTTTCAAATGTATGATGAATTTTGGCCTTTCTCCTAAAGAAAAAGCTTCTTTTTTTCACTCATACACCTAAAAAAAATAGTTGTGAGAAGATTAGAGAGGCAAAATAAAAAAACTTAGAAATATGATGAGTTATATAATGTAATACAAAAATGAAACTCAACCAATACAATTCATTTATATCTAACAACAGATTCGGTTTTCACTCAAAAATAAATCTAAATCTTGACCTTTGAGATCAGACGATTTAAATTACAGTAATAAAATGAGTTATACAAAGAATCTCGACTGGTAATTTAAAGTCGGAAGTTGAGAAGTTGAGATCGAAAACTACATAATGCATTTAATGCGCAAATTCAGTTCCTCTAACAAGAATGCTTCTTATTTCTTCAATACACATTATACAATTCACCAATTGCAATAAAACAAGTTATAGCAAATATCTACCACTATTATATTTCATAAACCTATCACACCAAACTTCATAACTCATAAGCCACAAGTCATCAACATCATCATGAAATGATATTTCTTTAGAAGAAAACACAAGTTAAGAAAAAAATTCAATGGACTCTCCCAACTCAACTGATTTTGCTTTCACATCTTCAACCACAGTTCATAACAAGAACAGTAACATCACTAGATGCCATTCTACAAAAGAAACACCTTTCTCAAAACTCTCATGTCCTACTTTCTCTCGCAGCCTTCAAAACTCTCCCATTTCATCTCCTCCTCATCACTATTTTCCCACTAAACTCTCCGATTCCGAGTCACCACAAACAACCTACCATTGCGCTTCTTCTGTCCTAAGAAACGACGGACAAATCACGTCCATAGGTTTATCATCGAGTGGCTTACTTTACACAGGTTCTGATTCCAATGTTGTAAGGGTATGGAAGCTACCTGAATTCACTGAATGCGGACAGTTGAAGACTAAAGCTTCAAAAGTTGTCGCGATCGAGGTTTCCAATGACACTGTTTATGCAGCTTATGGCGATGGCAAGATTCGAGTATGGACAATAATTTGGGATAATAGTACTAATGTTTTGAAACATGTTCGGTCTGCTACCATTCCTAAGACACTCGGCTATGTTCGTAGCTACATTGCAGGGAAAGACAAGACAGTAAGTGTACCTTAATTGAGATTTATGTTTGAATATTCTTTCTCAAAAAGTACTTTTGACATGATTTTTTTGGGTTTCTTTCATCATTTAGCATATGAAGCACAAGAGACTAATAACATCGATGGCAGTAAACTCGGCCGAGGACATTCTATACACTGCATCACTCGACAAAACAGTAAAAGTATGGCGAATCTCAGACCTGAAATGCATAGAGACAATCAAAGCACACGCTGAACCGATCAACGCGATAATAGTATCCGACGACGGAGTTCTCTACACTGCCTCGGACGACGCCACAGTTCGAGTCTGGCGTAGAAACTTTTGCAGCCACGATCAACCTCATTCTCTGACAGTAACACTTCACGCAAAATACTCACCTGTGAAAGCCTTAACACTAACCAACGACGGAGGAGTATTATACGGCGGATGCACCGACGGTTACATACATTATTGGCTAAAGGGTTGGTTTGCAGGACAGTTGCAATATAGCGGATCGATTCAAGGACACACGCATGCTGTTTTGTGTTTAGCTAGTGTTGGAAAATATGTAGTTAGTGGCTCGGCGGATTCGACTAGCAGGGTTTGGAGTAGAGAAGAAGATGGACAACATGTTTGTTTAGCTGTTTTGGTTGGTCATAGAGGACCTGTTAGGTGTGTGACAGCTTTTTTAGGAGGATGTTTTGTTGATGATGATGATAATGAAGATTGTTGCATTGTTTGTACTGGAAGCCTTGATGGTGTCTTGAAGCTTTGGCGTGTCACTCATACTAAGAATTTTAGTTTGTTTGTTCCAACCTTGGAACAAGTTTTTTCATAATATGTAACAAAAATTAAGCAAATTATCCATAAGTTAAAAGAATTTTTTAATATACTAATGATTCCAATTACATGATTATAATTATGAGTACATCAGAAACATAACATCGATACTACATATCAATACCGATAATAATTTTAAAAAATAAATAAATTAGACGTAACCATAAATGTCGGTATCAGTTTTGAACACAGTCATCATCGACACATACATGTCTTATTCAGAAGTGTGGTGCTAGAGATCGTGAGAGAACTTCTACTGCATACCATTTTGTTGTCCACCATTACCAATACTAGAATGTCTCCTCTTTAGGAAGTGGTAAAGACCATAACATAGCAAACGTAAAACACAAAGAATTGCTATGGAGACCAAAGCTGATAGAAGATAGCCTACAATGGAATTAGAACGCTTGCATCCAAACAGAGCTCCTAGACACACCATGGAGGAGGAGGTGGATGATGATGATTCAGAACTATGCTATAGTTTTATATCTATAATTTCTCACATACTTTTCATTTTATACGTTGTTGTATTGTATAGGAATTTATTTAAATACTTTTTATTTTATGTCTTCAAACATTATTTTTGATTAAAAAAATATGTATATGCTCCTTAGTCTATTCTTGCCTTTGATTAGGATTGTTATATGTTTCTTGTTTGTAACATAAGGAATAACTTGAAGCTCTATGCCTCTTAAGGTATTCATAGAATAGAACCTCTCCAATATTGTTCCTTTTAAATAAAAATACATATACAAGTTTAAAATATATATTGTATGAAAATAGTCAAATAATGTGTGTAAGTATACTTTGAATAGTGCGTTACGATACATTAGGCTTCTATTAGAAGCAATGCTTCAATGCATAGGCTTCTATTAGAAACAATGCTTCAATAATGTAATTTAAATAGAACTTCATTATTTGAAATTTGATATTAAAATAAGTTGGTATGAATGGAGATTTGAGATATAAAATCTTAAAATTTTAACTCTATATTCTTATAATTATTCTTTGATTGTCTATTAAAAATAAAATCGAATCAAACTAATGTGGTTTGGATTAGTTTGATTAGTTCAATTTTTTAAAGATTTTTATTGAACCATATATATACATGTAAAAAAAAATTGTGTTTAGTCATTCATACATCATCAAATAACAACAAAAACATATTTGAAAAACAACTTCCTATTTAATAAACAAAAATCAGATTAGACAAAGTTTAATTGATATGCACTGACCATGTAAAATAATTTTACACTCTCATCCAATAGGAATTCATTAATCTGTCATGTCATACCAATAACTTAAAATTTACAGTGTGATGTGGCAGAATACATAATGATGATTGGTTGATAGTGTAAATTTTTTTTACACTGACAATGCATATCATTTAAATTTTTAGACAAAAGTGTAATAAAAACATAAAATAGTATCATAAAACAATATTAAAAATATTATAATTAAACAAAAAAAAGAGAGGATGAGAGATTAGAGAAGAAGAAAAAGAAAGAATACAAGAGACGATGGATTAGAGAAGAAAAGGCGTGATAAAAACAAAACAGAAAAAGAGAACAATATGATAAAATTGAGAAAATGAAAAAAAAGAAAATAAGAGAGAAGAGATTAGATAAGAAGAGACGAGATATACCTAGCGAAAAAGATAAGAAGAAAACATGATACTACTAAAAGAGATTTGAGAAGGTTGAAATTGAAACCTTAAATGTGAGGAAGAAAAAATAGTTTGTAGTCGTAAAGTTAAGGCATAATAAGTTTGGGTTGGATGTGGGTTATGTGAAGTTTAGGTTGTAAAATAATGAGGTTTAGTTTGGTTTCCAAAATACAAACTACAATCCGAAATGAACCACACAGTTCTGTTAAAAAATGACTCAAACACATCCGAATCAAATGTGATTTTTTATAGTTTTTGGTTTGATTCGGTTCGGTTAGCAATTTTCTATTAGGTCAGTTCGATTTTGAAAACTCCTACCCACAATTTACATGATTTGACCAAAATACTCCTATATAAATTCTCCAGGTTTGGAAATTTGTCATTTTTTCTCTTTTAATTTTGAAGACATTCGGTCTAAATAGAAGAAGTTAAGAGAATTTGAGATGATTTGGGTATGTAAAATCTCAGAGAAAATTTATTTGATCCACTAGTAATATAGAAATTATTGTCTTTAAGTTATCTGATCTAAAAAAAATCCAGAGTTCTTGTACTAAAGTTATCTAATCCACGCAAAAATACCTGGAGTTTTACAAGTAATTTATCCGGTCTTATTTTCAAAATTCATCTGAGAACCTGAACGTAAAACATCTGATCCACAAATTTTCTTTCACTGGATGTCTTTTGGTCATGTTGTCAAGGAATTCATTATTTTTTGCAAAGTTGTTTAAAACTGTTTTTTACTAATGTCGTGACGCTGATGAAGTGACGGTAAAATTATTCCTCGTGGAGGCATATAACGAGAAGATCAAGCATTGATGGATGTATATGAACACATGTGGAGTGACAACTTCAGTTTTCAAGAGGGTCGTATGACATGTCTTTTCTCGTACGATACAAGCAAAGTGTTGCTCATCACTTATGGTACGGCGAGGTACGTAAATCTTAATCACATTATGTTGAATAATCTTTAATTTTAATTATTATTTATATTTTATATTTTAATTTTTGTAGGAGAGAGGTCCAAATAAAGAACTAAAGGTTGCAGGACATGGAAGTAAGTTGTTAGAATAGGTTCCACTATATCTCTCACTTGTGATTTAGGGTTGGTTGAATGACCCTGATCTATCTTCGCTCCAGAGAAACTGCTTGAGTATGATTGACCAAAATCTAATATCAACATTCATGGAGATATGGCATCCAGAGACATGGTTCTTTCATATGCCATTTGGTGAGATGATCATTACTTTGGACGGTATTTCTTGTCTACTTCACCTTCTGATCAAGGGTGATTTATGGGACCCCCACCAGATATCATTGAAGAAAGTGATGTTGCGAGATTCTCTGGGTCTCGCTCTTGCAAGGACAATAATATGTGTTTAGGTGGAACACATGACATTTTGTCAAATCAACAAACATGTTGTTGTTCATATGCACTTAGCCAGTCAACAAACAAATGAACTTCTAATGTACTATCTTTGGTCCTTTTTATAAGAAACACTTCACCTTTTTAGATTCATTAAATAATTAATGTATTTGGTCTGCGTTATATACCAGATACATTAATCATTTAATAATTCTAAAAAGGTGAAGTGCTCCTTATAAAAAGGATCGGATGGAGTATCAGGTAAACCATGGTTGTGAATTTCATATTTTACACCAATATTCCATCCAGAACCATTTTTCGATAGTGTTGACTTGATTTTGAATGGACAACTGCATTTCTTAATAGCACTTTGTGGTGCACTATCCACTTTCTTGTATTTCCACATTTATTATGACCAAATATTATTTTGTTACTTTTTTCTCTTTTGCCTATTTCGACATCTAAGATATAATAAGAGTCACTTTATGTTTGATTTCAATCTCCTTAATCCACCTTATCACGTATTCTTATGCATCATATTTCCATGTAATTGAGAATGCATAAGTAGTATAGACAACATCTCTGATTTTTATCGCATATCTTCAAAAGGATCTCCATATTTGTGAAATATAAAAATAAATAAATAAAAAGTTGAAAAATTGCATTATGAATTACTTAGAGCCAAGTTAACTGGTGTACAAAAAGACAAGTATCAAAAAATTATAGCAAAATTATTCAATACATATTATACAATTGGATAACTATGTTATATCTTATCTCACAAAACTTTAATCTAAAAAACATGACATCAAATTATCTGATAAAGGGAAGGTAAATACCGAAAATCTTTACTCAAAGTTATCTGAAAAACTAGTGTGGGGTGCAAATTCACCAACTTCGAAAAATTAAAAATAGGAGAGTGAAATTGAAATGGTAAATTAAATAATATATCAAAAGGGTAAAATGATAACTTGTGAAAATTGTAGGGTGAGAAGATAAATATAGAAATATGAGGTCAAGTTTTCTAGAGGCACCTTAATACTCAATGTGTTATACAACTTTACAATATATATTTATAGAATTTAATTTATTATTATATAAAAATGCATGTCTATCAATAAAAAAACATAAATATTAAATCATTACGTATTTAATATAAATATTTTTTATTTTATAATTCAATAAATTTTTAAAAATTGATATATTTATTTTTATTAAAAATATAGATAATGAGTACGGGTATTAATACTTACATACTCATAGGGTACGTGTAAGTATGCTAACATTTGTGTCCAAACAGCATATGTTCGAAGAGTATTTTTCCAACCGTGAATGTTTAGATGAGTATTATAGTATTTTGTCTAAACTCAGACTAATCTCATCCCAAACTAAAACTAATATTTTTTTAATTAATTTTTCTTCTTCTAATAATCTAAAAATTTCAAGCAATGTTGATTTTTTATGCTTTAAAATAAGTATAATGAAAAAAATAATAATATAAAGTAATTAAAAAGAAATACATACATGAATATAATTTTAAGATATTACTACAAATATAATGTAAAATTAAAATAAAATAATAGTTTAGTTTGAGTCTCTAATTGATTTTAGAATGTCAAAAAATTAATAACCCAAAACCAATAGAAAATAAATTTAATTACCATAGAAAAAAAATAAAACATTTTAGTTTGAATCTTTTGAGTTCATCATGTCTTGGTTAAATTCTTACAATTCTAGATAATAATGTAAATGAGCAGAGTGATCATATCAAAACATTTAAAGTGTGAGTTTGACTTGCATAAGTAAATGGAAGATGACATTGTAAAGATAATCATGCAGAATAGAAATAATATTAATATATTATCCGAATTAAACGTAAGCAACAGCCCGTCTAGCTCAGTTGGTAGAGCGCAAGGCTCTTAACCTTGTGGTCGTGGGTTCGAGCCCCACGGTGGGCGTTTTCTTTTGT